TTCTCCTCTACCCTTCAGCAGTGCACCTTCTAGCGGATCGTCTCTTCTGCGACACCAACCGCGCGGTGGGCGTCTCGTACTGACGGAGCAAGGACCAATAAAAAAAAAAAAAAATTATAAACCAAATAACACTGGTTCGGCCCAGCTTCACGCAGCTGGGAGGAGCTCCGCCGATCCAAGTAACGTCTGGTACGCCGTGCTCTCAGCAAGGGCGTTCTGAGGGTGCCCCGGTCATGAAGTTGGCATTGGAATACACAAGAAGGGCTGTACACGTCTCTCTTGCTCTTCCTAGCGCACGACCAAGTGAGAGCGAAGCACCTAGGTCTTTTTGTTGGGGCGATCGAGGGCGGAGAAGTTACGTGGGCGTGCTACAAGTTACACCCTTTGTAGGAACATCTGCTGTTTTGAAGGCTTCGGAGCGCGTCACGTGCGTCACGCCGCCGAAATCGGAGTGTGCGTCGTGACTCTTTAGCCAGACACAGGCACGATGATGCGCCCTGCTGCGGGCGTGGTATCTCGCGGCCGCGCCGCCGCCGCCCGAGTGGCCGCATCAGCCGCGTCCAGGCGTGTCGGAGGGAGGCGAGATTTCGTGCAGAATGCGCTCCCGAGCAACAGCAGCAGCAGTTCATCAGCCGTTGGTTTTTTGAGCAGCAAGGCGACCTCCTCAACATCGTACAGCCAGCATTGCAGCGGCGACGGTAAGGATCTCACGCACTGGGCCGTGCTCGCGATGGGGTCCGCGCTGGCCCTGTGGAAAACAGCAGCTACGGGCAGCGACGACGAGGCAGCAGCAGGCGTCCCAGCCGTCGCCTGCTCCGCGGGCATGGAAAAAAACAGCAACCACCGCCACGGCGACGCCGGCGGCCAGCCCTCCGTCGACGCGCCCCGCAGGCTGACCAAGCGCCGGAGCATCCTGCTGGCGGAGGACGAGGTCGACAAGCAGAGCGGCCAGTCCTACTACTCCCCCTCCCTCCCCTCGGCCGCGGCCGGCGGCGAGCCGCCCCTCCAGCCGGCAGACCCCACCGTGTCGGATAACGCACCCGGCGTGTCGCTCGTGGTCGCCAGCACCTACAACGGGAACGGGCCGATCGAGGACCGGCACGACATCCGGCAGAGCCCTCGGGGGGACTTCTTCGTGTCCGTGTTGGACGGCCACGGGGGCTGGCAGGCGGCCGAGCTCGCGCGGAAGCGGCTCAACATCGCGGCGCAGACGGAGCTCAAGACCTCCCTCGCGGGGAACCCGGATCAGGTGGGTGGGTGGTATGGGCGAGTTGTGTAGTTTTGAGAAATATTTTTGGAATTTCCGGCCATGCGAGATGAGGTGTGTGAGAGGCAAGTCGATGATGGGGTCGATGATGGGGACGATGACGAGTCATCGGGGGAACTTGTGTCCCATGGTAAGAATACGTGGTGTGCGGGCAGGAAGAAAGTCTGCATGCGTAGTGTCAGGATCCCACTCATACCCACGTGTACCACCGGTGCACTGGTGATCTTGAACTGCTGTTGTTTCGCCCAAACATTGCGGTACAGGGGACCCCGCTTTAAGGACGCTCGCGTGAAGGAATCTCCCCATTTTAAGAAAACTTGTTCTGTTCAACACCAGGGGGCCCGGCCGAATATACGATAATGGGGTACTGCTATTTTTATGCCGCGTACCCCCTTCTATGTCCTGCGGGCCTGCGGGCCGCTCTTTGCATGAACCACGCACTACAGTGAGAGCAGAAGTAGCGACGCACAGACAACAGAAGCAGCGAGCGGTCTGGTGCTGCAGCTGCAACTGGGTGTTGGTATGGATAGATTCCTCCCATCTACCGGCGCTCAATCTGATGCCGCCAAAAAAAGAGTCGTGCATGACCTCGTCCCTCACCGAGGGCGAGGTTACCTCTCGCTTGGAGGACGTTCGATCCTACAGATAGCGCCCGCAGTTAAGAAACGTCAAAATCGCTTCGAGCCTCACCAATCCCTTCTTTTGGGCCGAAGTACTGACCCAAGTCGTCCATTTCGTAAATGGCATTTCTTCTTCCTTTGGACTGTCGCATCCTCCCGATTCTCTTATTCCTTCGACTACAACAAGCTTCGTGTTTTCTTTTTTCTGTCATTTGATCTCTGAGGACAATCCACATCATGAAGCCCTCAAGAGGGGTGGTGGAGAGTGCCATCAAACCCGTACAACAGCGGAGAGCGTATGGTTGTCCGTGATGTGTGGCAGTACTACAGCAGTACAGTTCTCACTGTTAGGGGTGCCAATCGGGGCGATTTTGGCGGCAAAAAAGTGACCGGTCTATTCGAGGATTTTGAGAAAAAAAAGGGGGGCACGCGGACTTTTTGGTTCTCAAGTCAGCTCTTGAATCATACCGATCAAAGTATACTTTATCCTCCGTACTTTGTATAAGTAGCTCTGCGTCCAGGCAGCGACGTGGCTCTTCATACGTTGCACACATCTGGACACAAGTCCAATAGAGGACACTGCAAGCTCGGTTTATGCTTAAGTTTATAGGGCGGATGAACAACCCAGAAAAACCTACAAATTTCAGCTGTATGGCCAATGCCCGAGGCCGCCTCTGACTTTCTTGAGAAAGCGAGCTTGCAGTGCACCACCTTGGGAGTTAGACCACACAACACAAAAGACCGAACTGGAATCGCTCAAGTCAACAGCGAGATCTACATGTCTGAAAATGGTCTTCCAAGCGGGTCTCCTGCAGCGCCTGTCAGGGAAGCACAGCAGCAAAAAAACCGTAACCAAAAAAAAAAGAGGCGCGTTTTTGGTGGCGGCAGCAGGCGAGCCGCGAAGAACCTCAGGAAAAACCAAGCCAAGTACGAACAGGCGTCGGGGCAGTCTGTGTACGCCGCCTGCGCAGCGTCAAACACACACACTGTGCGGTCGAAAGGGGCGGTGTTGCCACCGCACAGAAAGCGCTGACAGAAAAGGAGCATGAGTTGGTCGAAAGTAAACAGCGCGAGGCGGCAAGCACCGCTGAGTGCAGCATGGCTCAGGAGCTCGCGCGCGAGAGCACCGAGGCGCTAAAGGAGGAGAAGGCTAAGAGAGCAGAGGCAGAGCGGTCGCAGCAAGAGGCAGAGCGGAGGAAGCAAGAGGCTGAACGAGACAAGGCGAAGGCGGAGGCGGTGGGCGTAGATGATGGGTGCTTCCTCGCTGCTGCTGTTTTTTTCGCCAGCAGCAGGAGGAGCACTGCTTCCTCCAGCAGGAGGAGTCCGCGCGGTCCCACCGCCCGGCGGCTGTTCGAGTGAGCCACCAGGCATGTTTGCTAGGTTGCGGACGGCGCTAGGGTGCCGCTAGGGTGCCGTGTGCAACCTCCACGGCACGGCGGAACGCGTTCACACACGCTTCGCGCTCGCGGGGCGTCAGGTGTTTTTTGGTTCTGGCGGGGTTCTTCGGAACGTTCGATGTGATTTTTTTTGGCTGGAAGATCCAGGACACTTTTCGAAATTTTTTCCTATAGGAAATTTGACCGATTGGCACCCCTAACTGTG